TTGGTTTTCGGGATTATCGATTACTTTTATCGATTTTATCGATTTTTTTGCAAAGTTTGAGCTAGGGGGCTGGGAGTTGGCACAGGGGGGTAATCGAGCATGCTGATCATCCCCAAGGGGGGTGATCAGCATGCTCGATTACACCCCTGTGCCAAATTCCAGCCCCCTAGCTCAAATTTTCAAAAAATCGATAAAATCGATAAAAGTAATGGACGATCTTGAAAACTAATATTGTATTCGTAATCTGCATGCTCGATTACCCCCTGTGCAAACTCCCAGCCCCGCAGGTCAAACTTTACAAAAAAAATCGATAAAATCGATAAAAGTAATGGACGATCTTGAAAACTAATATTGTATTCGGAATCCCCATGCTCACTTCCCCCCCCCCCTGTGCCAACTCCTAGCCCTGTAGGTGAACTCTGCAAAAAAATCGATAAAAATCGGTAAAATCGACATCGATCGATAACGAAAAGTGGACTGTGACACCCGCCGGGGCCCGAAGTGTATGTGTGCCAAGTTTGGTCCGGATACGGCGGAGCCGGGTAAGCCAGCTAGTAACCCATAAAAGCCAACACATTTATAGGTCGTCCCGAAAGTTTTTGCGCGCGATTTTCAAAAATTCATAACTTCTGATTTTTCCAACCGATTTGACTGCTTTCACTTTTATGTGAAAGGGTAAGTCATGCTTTTTATAATGACATCTCAGCTGCTTAGTAATGGTCATCTGTTGCATGATAGAAGCTCAAAACCAAAATCACTCAAAATTTGAATTTTTGTGTAGGGTCATAAAAAATCAGAAACTTGCAACAAAAATCGGAGCAGTCGATATTGTAGGTTCTTTCACCAGCTCTTTCTAACAGTGCAAAGTTTGCTCCGATTGAGCATCTCCATGAAAAGTTATGATTTCCGAGCAAGCAATAAAAAAGGCGAGTTTGATTTATTTTGGCATTTTTTAGGGAAATTATAACTTTTCATGGAAACGCTCAATCGGCGCAAACTTTGCACTGTTAGAAAGAGCTGGTGAAAAAACTTACAGTACCGACTGCTCCGATTTTTGTTGCAAGTCGATTTTTTATGAGCCTACACAGAAAATTAAAATTTTTACCATTATTCTTCTATCGCTCCTATCTATGCAACAGATGACCATTACTAAGCAGCTGGGATTTCATTATAAAGAGAATGACTTACCCTTTCACATAAAAGTGAAAGCAGTCAAATCGGTTGGAAAAATCAGAAGTTATGAATTTTGAAATTCATGCGCAAAAACTTTCTGGACGACCTAATAAGAGCGAGGTGGAGCAAGTTAATTAAAAAATGTGCTGTGGATTGACATCGTTATCAGCACTAACGGGGACGTGAGCGAACGCGTCTATTTGAGCGCGCTTATCGTTGTTATATGTTTATGTTTTTTGGTAAAAAATGCGTTATGCCATCATTATTAGCACACACTCAAAAAACTCTGGGAGATTGGTGAATTTCCACACCTTCACACAAAAAACCCGCCCATTTCTGGAATCTATACTCTGTAAACCTAGTGCTGAAGAAGGTCACTTTCGTGAAAACGCTCTAGACTCGCCTTACCTAATTTGTAGAGAATGGTTGGTTTCAGTGAATCAAAAACTCTAAGACATTCAGAAGAATAACATGTTATCAAAATATCCCTCAATGTTTTGGAAGGTTGGCAGTTTGAAGAGGAAACGGCAGGCAGAATACTTTACAAGATCGCAGATGACTCGCATGTGTTCCAGTTCAACAGCGAGGCAAAAGGTGAATCCTACGCCGACGAAAATATTGTCGACATTGATACAGAGTTGACAATTGAGCGAAACTCTCTGATTTCCTGCATAAGGAATCCAAGCAGATTGTCTAGTTTCAATGAGGAAATGTCCAGGAATTCCATTGCTGATCTTCAGGTTGCTGAAGAGTTCAAGGCTGCTAAATTCACAAACATGGATATGAACAAAAGGAAGGTGTTAGTACAAAGCATAGTTACTGCACTTAGATCCCCGCTGGAGTGCGAACCCAACTCTGTGCTTTATGCTTTTGGAAGTTATTCGCCTTGTGACATTATGACCTATGCTATTGAAAAAAAACCAACTCGCAGCATAGTACCTCCTTTTTTCGGCTATTCCGCAGATGCTGTTAAAGAAGAAGTTGAGCAGCTTTCTAACTAGCTAACAGGACGTATGCCAGAGGAGGTAGCGCCAGAGTTCGACAAGGCCCAAAAAAGTATGCACTATTTCCTTCCCGTGTTGCGAAAGCATATGTGATCTGGCTCTTTTCCCATTACTTACCGCAAAAATCTGATGGACTTACTAGCAAAGCTAGTTTCCATTCCGACTAGCACGGCAGAGGTGGAAAAAAAAATTTTCTATCTACTCTGTTATCAGAACACAACGCAGAAGTCGTACAACGATGGAGCATCTAAGCTAATACTTAAGATTTGTCAATCTTCTACTAAACACATTGTTATCTAAAAACTTCATTTAAAGGATTGGTATAAGTGGTCCAGACAGGCTGTTACCGTATGACTTTTTGAAATATCATAAAAGATGGTATGAAGAAACTGGTCACCTACCTGCTGACTTCCTGGTGCTACCAGAGGGCCAGGAAAAAAATCACAAAAGCGCTTAGAAGAAGAAGAAAATTTCAAATCCATTTTCGACTCGGAACGCTTTTGCACGCAATTCTACTTCTACTCCGATGACCTTTTGGAGGAAGAAGAAGATTTTTCAGGCAGCGAACTTGTTGCCTCTGACGTTAGCGATAGCGATATTGTTGATGATGATGTGCAGGAAATGAAGTTGTTCCTAACTTGTACATCTTTTGGGATAAACCTTATTGCTTTCGTTTTTTGTTGATGCAGTGAAACAGGAGCACAGATCTTCATAATCAATTTTTTTTAGAAATTTTTAATTTCTTTTGAAAATTTTTAAATTTTTCTTCAATTTGTGCCTAAATAAGGTACACATTAGAGCTTTTCATACCACGCTTTTTTACCTTTTCTCTCTTCCTCCCCTCCCCCCCCCTAGACTCACACACCCCCTTCACCCTGGAAGGTCGGGAACAGCCGAAACCCCCTTCACCTGGGGAGAGCCCGGCTCCCCCTATCGCACCTATGATTCGGGTCTGGGTATGAGACAGAAGCTGTTTCCCAGTATGGGTTTGAAACAAAAATTTCTTTGTAAAGAATGGTTTGACAAGCATTTCTGCTTCATCTTAACCCATGAGATGCTTCTGTTTACGATTTCCCTTTCTACGCCTTCCGATCTTCGTTACATAGCCGCTCTGCAGATAATGAGAACAGATCTAGAAGCGGCTGATGCTTTGCAAAACCATATGTATGCATATCATCTCGAAAGGCTACTTTGATCAAGGATCCATCCTCAGTTAGGCGACAGCAAACTCGAAGAGAAACAATCTAAACACTCGAAGAGAAACAATCGAGAGGTTATAAATGTGAGGCTTAGCTTTATTTTGAACCTAGTTAGAAGAGAAATTACGAAATTCATGGGGTTCTCAAATCTCAAGCTTGTTGCTGGTCCAGCGGTTCCTTAAAACGTAATCCACGTAAACTGCTGTGACTGGTAGGTACCTATCTACATAAACACACAGCTGTGATATCAGAGCAGCTCACAGCACGACTGGGAATTGATACGTAACGTTGCTGCACATCGACTGTTCATCGCTCTCAAGCAATATGCTACCCACATCAATCCCACGACATATGCTACAGTCTTGTTCTATCGCAGCATAGTTTATTGGACGTAGATTTGCATGTTTCTGCAGTCAACATTACCGTCACGCCTAATTTTGATTACGGTAGGTCAGAAGTGCCTTTTACAGTCTATAATTCAGTAAGAGTCACCCTATCTTGACCCATCTTCACAACTTTTTGGTACCGTCTCAATTCGTCTTTTTCGACTGAAGTCGCAAAACTACACGTTATAGGTAACAGAAGCAGAGATTGGGCATATACCTCGGCAGGAAGCAGTAAGTATGATACCACCGCTTCTTCTCAATCCAGAAGAGAATCATTTTGTCCTGGACATGTGCGCTGCCCCAGGAACAATAACGGCACAACTAAGAGAGATGATGCATGAAAATACCAATAACCCGAGTGAGCATATTACACTGCACTCTCTGCGGAGTAATTAGCTCGGAAATTCAGGTGGGATGTTAATAGCTACGATGTGGATAAGAAAAGTTGCTATATGCTCATGATCAAACGCTGAAACGATTCCATACTGCAAGCTGCGCAGTAATTTGTGAAGATGCTGCGAGAATGCCGGTTTTGAAGGAAAAGGTAATTTTTGTCTTTGAGGTAATCTTAAGGTATCTTAAGGTAATCTTTAATCTTTGTTATTTTTTCTTTCATGCTTTGGTTGACCTACCACATTATTACTTTACCGTCGGCATATCTTACATTTCAGAGTTGATTACGGTTTCATAGAAAAGTTGTCCTTTCCTAATAAGAAACACATTCATCTAATTTTTGGATCTGCAAAACTAGACTTGCTTCTGAAAAGTTTTGAGGAGCATTCAAAGCTCTTTTTTGATACAGTTTAGCTGACATAGTATCAACTTTCCCATTACCCTTCACTCCTTTTTCGTGTCTAGAGTTATCTTTGGGACGAAATTAATGAAAGGAAGGAATGTACGTACAAATGGTCCTATCTTGATATTTCCGACTACCAACCGCTTTGCACGGCAGATGAATGAAATTTGTTTTTTTTATTTTTATACTTTCAAAATTTCGCTTTTGGGAGGGCGAGCCTCTGAAATTTGATCGTGTGCTGAAATTCAGGATGTGCCTGAGTTTCTACGGAGGATCGTTTCTGATTCATGTTTTTCTCCATCAGAAGAAGAAGCGAAGTCTTCGCACCTTGAAAATTGGTGAGTCTTGAAATGCTTAGTCAAAACCTACCTCGGACCTTACTTTTGTTATTTTGAAAGATCGTGATTTACGCTTTCATCTATGCTTGCTCTGATGTTTCAGTATGCGCATCGTACCTCATCATCAAGGTACGGGTGGATTTTTTGTGGCTTTGATAAAGAAGGTCAACGAAGGCAGCTTCACTAACATCGTGCCCGTTGGGTAATGCTGTCATTGGTTGTTTTTTTTCACGAGTTTTCAATTTTTAGAGCCCCTGCATACAAAAAGCAGAAGATGTTCAAGGACGAGCTTTTCACCTTTTTGAAGAAGGATGATGAGCGATGGTCGGACATCAAGTTAGTTGCATGCCTATTTTGCATCAAGTAGTGACTCAGATTGGTTGTTAGCATTTATAAGTTTTCATCCATTATTATTTTTTTGTTTAAAGATGCACAGCTCCGTGATCTTCTTAGTTCAAATTCTTTTGCTAATTATCTAGTGGTGCGAACGGTTTGTGCATGCGAGTTGTTGGAGAAAGGCTCTTGTTTGCAGAGTTGTCGCACTGTTGAAAGTCAGAATGAGTCACTCTGCTGTCCCCAAATGCACAGCTTAATCTGCATTTCCAGAACTCACTATGCTATTCGAGATGATTTTGAATACGAAAATCTGTTCGGTCGTTTAGCAGAAAACGATATGAAGTGTCGGCAATTATTCTACGCCAACGCAGCTGTTAAAGATTTTGTGGTAAGTCTATAGTGCAGTGACTCTGTTGATCGTTTCAGTTGCGTAATATGACAAGTGTGTCAATACAAAATGCCGGTATGAAGATGTTCAGTCGAAATGAGCAAAAAGTCGAAGCGACACGATTCCGTCTTTGACAGGAAGTATTCGCCACCTTCTTCCATATAAACAGATAGCACGTGGAATTCCTCATTGATTTATTTTATTTGGCCCTATTGCAAAGATTTCTTTATCTTCTTTTTGGCGTTAGTGAAATTCTTGCATTCTGCGTAACTCTTCTGTTCAGGTCAAAATTAGTCAAGATGACATGCTGAAAATCTTGAAAACGGAGGAGACAATGGTTTCTTTGGAATCTCTCCAGTGTAAGGACGACATACGTGCACAAAGCTCTGGAAGTTTGTTACTATATAGTAAGTTTCAACTCAGTTTAGGCGGAAATTGGATTGGCGGGAGTTCGCTTCGCAGAGATTCGCGCCGTTTTGCAGTCTGCGTCTCTTCATTCTAATCTATCTCGCTGAGCCAGTGGCGGTGCGGGCGCGCAGCTCGACCTTGAATGTTTCGCCTACTCTGGGTTGAAAAAGACTGTACACAGATCGCGCCGATCCAGTCTGTACATGGGTAACTCTTTGTCTTTTTTTTCTAATTTTTTTCTATTCCTTTGGTTCAACTTGCTCATATGTAATGTTTTTTTCTCATACTTGCTTTTTGATTTCACTAATTCATATCACCAATTCCAGTGATTTGAAGCCTGTTCAATTTTGCCTAATGATGGTTATCGTGTCAGAAGCAGCTTACATGATTGTCTGAGCGTGACTTTTGACTTTGACTTTCGGCGTTGCGCATGCGTATTTCCTACGCGGAAAAGAGTATGCAGTTGACACAATCGGGTTTCCTACTTCGAAATTTTTTTCCTTCTTATCCGCGTGACTCATTGACTACTAACTGAACAGTAATTGTTTGTTGTTAGGTAGGCTTTGTTTAGATGCATCAATTACAAAAGTGCTGAGGTATAGTCCATATTTACTTTAGGTCTACCACGAACTCATCATGACAGCGAATGAATGCATGCAATGTGTTAATGCTGTCGACGCAGTTTGGTTGGCAGAACTTGGCCCTATGTTCAGTTCAGTAAAGGTCATGTTGTATATCTGTTTCCTAAAACGTCAGCGCTGAGATGATAAGTGGTTATAGGAAAGACTTCTCGATCTAAAAAACGAAAGAAAGCGTAAGAACAGCTGAGAGTATGGAAGAAGAGATGAGAGAAGCTCAGAACGAAATGCAGCGGCGAAAAGAGAAGTCGGAGAGGGCATTCAAACGACCAGAAAGCGTGCGGACAGTTGATGTTGGCCGCTCTCTTCGCAGTAAATATTGGAGAATGTTAGAGCTCGATTTCTTGTGATTGCCAAGTGGTGATCCTGTCAGATCTGCTAGTTTGCCATTCACTGTCTATACTCTACCTCTTGAAATTATCCTTTGCTGGTAGCGTTTTGAAGAATAGTTTATGAATTATAATTGTTACAATTACAATGAATCATTTACGATCATTTAGCTGCACAGGTACGATACAAAAACAAAATCTATACATTTCGATATTTGAAGCAGATAAGAACAATACTCCCTACAGCCATGAACCATATGTGAAACAGACTGTTCACCAAAAAAAAGTTCACTAATATGATAATGCACATTTAATGAATCACAAATTCTATCTGTTTACTGATTTAAGTTGCTCAAAACACACAGAGGTAGTCAATACATAATCAATACATACCCGCATTCACCATTGGTGAGAAGAATCTGATTAAAATTCAAGAAAAAAGGCAAGATATCGTAGTACATACAAAAAGCAGAAAACTCTTATGTCGGACTATTCCTAGACTGGAAAATTGCTGTTGTCAACTGCACCTGGAACTGCTCGAATTTGATAGCAAATTCTTCTGCAAGAGCAGGACTTCGCGCGTCAAGCTTTCGCATGTTTGAAGACAATAAATGACCTAAACTCGCAGATCAATCTTGATAGTACTAGTATAAACAGCTCACCCATTGACTCAAACGAGTCCGGGGTGTCAAAGTTTTCCTTGAAGACCGTTGCGAACTGTTCAATAGCTAGAACACAGTAATACTCAAACTTTCGTAGATCTTAATAAGCGCTTACCACTAATTTTTTGCTGCTTCTTACTGGATTTCTTCGTTTTTGGAGGTGGCGGTGCAGTTTGCACAAATATTACTTGCGAGTGTGTTTGCCCAGGACCGGTATCGAATCCTTGCGACTGCGTTTGCATAGAACCAGTCTCGCTTTGCTGAAACAATGAATTCTAATTCAAAAGAAATTACCAAAATCACTTTCACCATATCGAGAGCCTCCGCTGCTGTTATATCGCTGATATCTTCGACATCGAGCAAGGAATTATTGTCATTGTGAATCGTCTCAACATTACAGTAACGTTCTCTTAAAAAGATGCATAGTAAATTAGCGTTGAAAAGTATTTTGAATGAAAGCATATGCTTACCCTTCATCATTAACAGGATCCAAAAACACGAAACCGTTGTAAAAAGTCCATGCTCTAAGGCGCTCCAAGGCGCCGGCCTGCAATCCGCTATTGCGTCTCACGGCATCTTGGTATGCCCGCCTCTTGCGCACATAGACATCGCGTAAATTTTTGAACGTCCTTTGGAGTACATCCACTGCAAAAAAATAGCTTTAAGAAACCGCTATGAAATGTAATTTGAACTCGATCACAATAAAATGAGAATGACTCAGTAGGGTAAAATCTGTTGAGAACACCATTTCGCTTACCATCAAAGGTGCTCTTGAATGTTACTTCCATATCTTTGGCTACTTCCCTCCAAGCTTTTGCTCTGGAAGGAAAGCTTTTGTAATGGACATCCTCCTCATTCCAAAGGGAGGTATGCTGCTCCACTAGTTCAATATGGTTTTGTTTCTCAGCATCGGTCATGCGAGAAGTGGTGCCGTCTTATGATCTTTTCATCTGCCAAAAAAAGAATAGCAACATTACGATTAAAAAAAAGAAGTACCGGAGTAAGTAATACAACAAAACAGACAGATATGAGCACAGCCCACGAGTATCCAGTTTTATCAACGATCTTATGCACAGATTACAATCGCGATCAAAAAACAAAAAACAAATCAGAACCACATCAAAACCACAAATCACGAAAAAAACACAATCATTTCAAAAAGAAATCTTTTGATCATTACAACTATGAAAAAGCTCTTTAGAACAACATTAGTGAAACAACATCAATATATACGAAAGACAAGATATCAAATAGTTTGGGGACATAGACACAGAACTGATATTAAGTAATATCTAGAAACAGAAAATGATCGGCATTATTCGTTGAAAATGATTTGACTTACATCAACGACATACACTTCTCTTTTTCCTTTCTTACAACAACGTTAATCTGCCAAATATCTTCACTCACCAAAGAGCGACGATATTTGGAATCTGCATGCCCTATGTACAGTTCTAAAAAGTTCCGAGAAATTTGATTGCTCTTATTCGAAACTACCGTCACCTACCGACTTATAATCTATCCCTATCAGCAAAAAATTTTGTTAAATGATTGCGCTGTATTTGCGCATCACTGTTGGTTTGACGATTTTGACGAGAATGTCTCGTCAAATCATCATAAGCGGGATGATTTGAATTCCTTCTCAGAATCCTGTCCCCATTCCCTTTTGTTAATAGATCATGAAGAACCTAAACTTTCATTTGAATTTCACTTGTGTACGTTTCGCGCACACTTACGCATGCAGTCATTATTATTCTTTTCATATTTTCAGGGGTGCCGCACAACGGACCCTGAAATATTCGGAACCTCGAGGTGATTATTCCAAACACACTTTCCACCACCCGCCGGGCGCTAAAATGAGAAACACATTTGATAGGAGATATCTTTGAGATCTCTACTTACGCGCTGAAGCACTCGTTAAAATGGCTTTTTCGAGCATCTCTAAATGCTTCAGCCTGTTGATAGGGTCTTTGCATCCAAGGCAGATGGGGAAATCCACCAGCTAGTCCTAAATAAGATTGTCCATAAGCTTGAAAAGACGTATGATAGTTGGTTGTTGTTGTTGTTGATAATTAGAGGCAATTAAAGGCACACATAATGATTTGCAACCCATAATCTGTTCGCGTTCAAATAGCCCGTTTGCAAGTGTATGCGTGCTTGGAACGGAAGCTTTGAATAAAAACAGTCTGGAGGTTTTGAATAATTTGGTCCGTTTTCTTACTCGAGTGATTCTTTGGAGAAAGGTGTTGAACAAACGCGATTTGTGAAGAGGGAAGCAAAAAAACTTAAACAAGTCTGATTAGCAGAGGGTTCAGCATTCTGTTATCCTGCAGCGTTCCCCTTCTTTCCTTGGAGTAATCTCCTCCTAGCAGTGAAAACAGTGCAGGTAGTGTGGAAAGGTAGTGTGGAATTTTGATGTGCCGGTGGTGAATAGTACATCAGTATTTCATACTTGTGTTAGGGAATGATGAGACAGTCTTTTGGACAAACACATAAAATCAACGTTAAGAAAATTACACCAATTTTGAATTCGATGTGTCAGAGAAACGTGGCATAATAAGTTGAAAAAGTTTCTGCACATTTTTGTCGGTTTCTCGCAATAGGATCTATACCTTTGTGGAGGGGAGGGGGAATGGAGATGTTCGCATAAGAGAATATATTTTGAGCAATTACCACCTATAAGTTACCACAGATTAACAGAGCCATCTAAGAATGAGTTTGTCAAAAAAATGTATCATTCAACCTTCGCTATCCAAGCTTTTTGTGGTTCTCCTAATTCCCAGGTCCTTATGCACGTGCATAAGGACATAAGGTAGATTGTTTGACAAAATGCGCAAATAGTTTATAAGTCCTACAATCCAACCTTAGAAGAAAGTTCATTGGTCATATTGTCAGCAAGATTCTCTTGATTCCGAATGGCAGGAAAAATTAACTAAACAAAACTGACATCCAAAAAGTCAGCAGTGAGAAAAGAATGGCTAAAGTTTTTGCACTAGTAAGATGCAAAGCCAGTAGGACAGGAGGACAGGAGGACATGGCACAACCTGTGCCATGCCATTTCAGCTGCGACTTATGCAATTATTGTGCCAGCGCCTGATCTGCGAGGTTTTCATGGCGTGCAAGTATTAGTTCTGCGCGTTCTTTCGACTCGCCATTACCACTTCTACTCAGTTATCAAACGTTAGCACAATTCGAGCAATATGTGAGTCAGAAATATTGCTAAAAAATGTAAAAATAACATTTCGACAAGAATACGCTATCTTGTTAAAGTGGATGAGCAGGTCTAAAGAAACCAACAATTTAGAAAAGTTTTTGCATTAATAAATCATCATTAAATAACTTACACGAAAAATACATTCCACAAGCAAACAAATTTAAAGGCAGTGTCCAGGCAAATCCGGATGTGGGGTTTTTTTGTGGAAAGTAGTTTTGGGACCCTATTAAGACACTGCCCAAGCGGCAGCTCAAGTGGTGAGCTCACAATTGAGATATCCGCCTCCAAACTGCACCCCGGGACCGTATTCGCATGGATTCATGGCACCGCGTAGATCTCTGCACGAAACTGATGTGTCGCGCCATGAATCCGTGCGAATACGGTCCCGGGGTGCAGTTTGGAGGCGGATATCTCAATTGTGAGTTCACCACTTGAGCTGCCGCTTGAGCAGTGTCTTACTAGGGTCCCAAAACTACTTTCCACAAAAAAAAACACCCCACAATCGGATTTGCCTGGACAGTGCCTTCAATCGCGCCAGCTCTAACTGACGTTCCGCCAGCTCGTTAGAAAATGCAATTCAAAGTAATAGGTAATTGATAATATATCAAAAAGGAAAATAAAACTAAGTTGATAAACAAACAAATAAACTTAACTAAACGTCATAAGTGATCACTCACCGCCATTTCAAGAAACTGAGCAAACATCGACATAGCTTTTCGCACGATCCTGGAAATAGAATCTTCATTGAGCAGTGCTCAAGCAAATGATTACAAATGAAATGAGATGATGAAGATGAAGTAATGTGTGCCTCAGGAAGTGCCCAAGATTTTGGGTAGAGGCCGGACGAAGGGTAGTAAAACGTAAACTAAAGATTTTCTTTGATTGATAACTTTTATATAGCATCTTAGGTCCACGTCATATACTGCATGATAACAGGGACTCAACCATGTTTAATTCAACAAGGTTTCACAGATTACAACATGTTGCAAACCTAGCGAAAAGTGTTATTGAAGCGATACGCAAAAAAAAGGATCGTGATTAACACAGTTGGTAGCAATGGATTTGCACTTCTGTTAAGACGACTTGGAATTCTCGGAATTGATTGTCATGGTAACAGAAGCTAAAATAACACTACCAAATTGAGAGAAGTAGAGAATGATATTACTAATGATACCACAATGAAGATCTATATTCTAATCAAAGAATATTTATCAGGAACTTGCTCTAAAGGAATCATTGTAAAAAAATTTAGTTCAATGAAAATCAAAATCTTGTAAGTATCCTCTATCTCCCCACGAACTGCGGCGGCCGAGGCACGCGTAAAACGTTGCGAAAGAACGACTCCTAGATTTGCAATTTTAGGGATATGGGGTGGGGGAACGAAAGCCGCCAGTTTGAGCCGACTTTCGCGGCCAACTGGTCCTTTCGCAGTGTTGTTGCATGTCGTTCCCGGACCAGCAGTCCGCAGAGGCGGCCCAAACTGGCGGCTTTCGTTCCCTTACCCGGGATATGTCTTGCATCGCTCAAAAGTACCCGAGAAGAGCCGAAAAGGGACTAAAAATGCCGAAAAGCGGCCAAAGGTGTCGAAAACGTTCTAAACTACTGAAAAAGACCCAAAAGTGTTGAAAAATACCCAAAAGCGCTAGAACTTCCCTTCTCATGACAATTAGCTTCACGAAACATCGTTCAATACAAAAAGGATAGATCACCACATTTACATGATAATGTCGAGAACTGTCAATGTCAGCACTTTCAACATAACACTTCTCGGCCACCTAATATGACTAGACCGATAAGCTCGCCTAGCGAGCATATTCGATTGATTTTCACCTAAGTCAAGATGCTACGCTATCCCGAGGAACGTTGAAATAAACTGGGGCAAGGAAGTGCTAGATGATGTGCTGTGCACATTCACTGTTGTGGCGACCGGATATTTGCTACGAAAAAATGAAAAAAGGAATAAAGGTAAACAATACTTACTTCTTTGTGCCTTAAGCGACATACTGTGAGCTTTCATTAACAGCCCAACTGAGAATGGATACGCGGCTTTCATTGTAAACCGATGAAACGATGAGATCTTTGCAAACTAAACGCAGTATATCACTTGCTGGTCGTCATTTAAAGGGGTAGATGAGCTTACATTATAGAATCTTCTTGAAGAATTTGATATGAATAAGCTGTGTAGCATGGTTTGATGGAGAATGTAAAGCTCGCTTGATAGCTTGCCCGTCTGACAGCGAAGACTTGGAGTTTCTAGACTCAGGCACCTGGAGTGAACTAGAGATTCATAAAAAAAGATGAAAACAAAAAAGTTAAAAGTTAAGTGATTAACGTTCAATGTTCAACGTTTAATGTTAATCACGACTGAGCCAAAAGAAAATACTTCGAAGGAGGCGTACCTCATCTCCTGCTGTAAGATGTGTACCGCTGGCCAGTAACAGGTGCAGCTGAAGTAGATAGTGATCGCTCAATAGTTTCTGTATCAAATCATATCTCGCAGTGTCCAAACGACGATGAACGGGATATTTGGCGTTCTCGAATGGAACACAGTTACAATAAAAAAAATTTAACCGGCAAAAAGTACTACATTGACAACGTGACAAAACAAACAGATATGAGCACAGCCCAAGCATGCCCAACTTCAGCAGAGGTTTTATGCACAAATCACAATCGCGATAAAAAAATCGGAACCACATCAGAATCACAAATCACAAAAAATCACAATGATGTTATAGCTTCACAAACTTCATGAACAATGGCTGCAACAGTCGATCTGTCCAATCAAAACTCATGCGCCCAAGTGCGGAAACTACGGTCATGCCCCAAATACCTTTGAACCTTTCTTTTTTTTAGCTAATCAGCATTCAACGATCAGACATATGACCAATCTGTATAGGGGAGCTTTTGGGTATTTGTTATTTTTGGAACGTTAGAGTTTGCACTCGATAAGGATAAAGAACTCAGGAAAGCCAGCCAAATTAAATTTTGTAGATTGGTGGGCGCTATTCCAGTATCCGGGCCCCAAAATTTTTTGCCAAGGATTTTGCTGAAACTTGGCCCACAAGAATTATTCGGCCCGCTGATGCCAAATATCACATTGAATCTGTACCGTAGCGTCATTTTCTCGGGTTACGGTGGGTATACGGTAGTGGGAATCTCAAAACTCACTGTAACTTCGCACAGAGGGGTTATTCGACACGCTGATGCCGAATATCATATTGTTTTTGTACGATAGCGTCATTCATTGGGGGTTACGGTGGGTATACGGTAGGGGGTGAAAATCACGGAATACGCTGAAACTTGGCCCAGGAGGGTTATTCCACCCAATGATGCCGAATATCGTGTTAATTTTGGACGGTAGCGTCATTTTCTCGGGTTATAGGTACACGGTAACGGGTGAAAAACATAGTTCTGCCTGAAACGGATGTACGGCGCTTAGGACGTCGTGAAACTTTGCACACGCGACCTCCACCGCGCACTACACACCCTGCTGCGGCTTTTGCCTAAGCAAAACACAGGGAGAAGATACATTTTTTGTGATTTTGACCCCCTACCGTATACCCACCGTAACCCTAGATAATGACGCCTACCGTCCAAAACCAACATGGTATTCGGCATCAGCGGGCCGAATAAGTCCCATAGGCCAAGTTTCAGCAAAATCCATGGCAAAAAATTTTAGGGCCCGGATACTGGAATAGCGCCAATTGGTGAAATGCCTCTTCGTTGCCGTGATAATGTGCATACAGGAGATCAAATCGAATCAAATCAAATCAAATCAAATCGATCAGCTATTGCTATTGCTAAATGAACTTGGACGAGAATGACGAGAAACTGTGGAGTGCGAGCTGAAGACGAGTCGACACGTCAGAGGAAATTGGTCGTGGTTTGAATAGCAGCTACATGAGAAAAGATATCCACAAAATTAACAGGACCAAATTTCTTACAAAATGAAAGAGTTTTGCACAACCTATAGCAATTAATTCTTAGGTCGGCAACTCGTCAATCATTCAATGAAGTTGTGAAAACCAGCGCTAAAATACAATCAAAAACCAACAAACGACTTGCTGCTGACTAAATGAAAACAAATCATGAACTGATACCCAGGCTACTTCATCAAGTGCTACACGTTATCACTGGACTCGAAGACAAAGAGACAATTCCGTGCTAGTTCACAACCTCGTTGACTGCTCCATCTGCTGAGCTCGCAGGAAGCTTAGATTCACATAGGTGGGGTCATGGATGGCCTCGGCAGTGGCAGCGTCCCTGGCTCTGAGCGTCGACGACAGTCGAGCGACTCGCATTGTTTGAAAGACATGGCTGACTACCATACTTTCACCCGTTCCGTATTCATTGTAGTCGGCAAGCTGAAAGAAAATCAGATCAGATCGATCAGAGCTAACACGACGCTGGCACGTGCAGCTCTGAATGAAGCCTGAGCCTCAAAAAGCCTCCTTGACTTAACTTTGTGTAAGAAGTTTGCACTTAAAAAGCCTGCAACAGAACTGGTGCCTTCATTATATAAGGCACCGAAGCTAAGGTGAAGCCCACCAAGCACGACAAAGCAAAATTTTCTTATCAAACGCTGTAGGGTATTATTATCAATTCAAGGCTTTGGAGACTAATTTGATCGTGGCGGGTGCATAAGCCGTCGTCACGGTGGATTCTGCCTAAACCAAGTGCAACAAACTTTCGTTGTCTTCATAATTCATAGTAACGATATGACATTTCGTAGATAGCTTTTCAACTGAAAAAAAAATGTCTAGTAGATTCAAGGGATATACTCTAAAGGACCAGACGGCCGACGTGGTGTTATGGCGTCCTCGTGTTTGCTGACAACATTTGCGTGTAAGAAACGCCATTGAGTATATGAAACGCTGTGCACATCAGATTGTTTTATACGCCATAGTGTTGCCGCAAGAGCACTTGAAACATACCATTAAACTTAACTAGACTACGTATGAAGAAGAAATGTGAGTGGCTTTCTCAACAAAAGTAGAACAAAATTCAGCATAACAAAAGGGCTTCTAGTCTGACTAAATTCGTTTGCACTTATACTTGATATTAATAAATCAAGGGCAGAAAACACCAGGAAAATGAACTGAAAATCAAACCTACAAATAGCTTATTATTTGCCCGCTAAAATCTAATTTATGAGAAAGGTCATATTAACGAATGAACTTACCGGAGGTGGTGGTGCCAAAGCTGTCGGTGGCTCGCCAATATCCTCGCCTACGTTATAACCTCGCCGTCGCAACTCCATATCAACAAAATACCTAGAAAAGCGTTATAGCTCGAGTAAAATTGAATTGTAGAAGGAATAAGGAAGCCTACCTATACTAATGGTGATAACAGCTCATCTGAGAGTGGATACGCGGCTTTCATAGTAAAGCGATGAAACGATGACATCTTTGCAGAATAAACGCAAAACTTGGAAACTTCAAAATGAACTTCGTTTTGGATTCCTAAAATGAAAATATAAATTGTCAGATGTTACAACGAAAATTCACACACCAAATAGACCGACAATTCGCTCCGTGATACAGTGCATCAATCAAACAGCAACATTATCACTTTCTTCATACCTGATTTTACAGCCAAGAAGTTTTGAAAGCAGAGATATGAAAACCTACAGGAATCTGTCCATACTTTCGAGCTGCACATCGAAACCAAGCGATGCTAGTTAAGAAAAAGGATAAGCGGTTCAAAAGCGGTTCTTTTTCATCACGGGATAGCGTCCTGCGTGCAATGAGTTGTTAGGTGTGCAAATACACGCGATCGCCCAAACTATGGCCATGCATTTTCGATCGGCGATTTGATCGTCGCGACTTGGTCGCCCAATCCAAGCGATCAAGTCGCGACGATTTAGTCGCGTGAACCGACCGACGTGATCTGACCGGAACCTAAGTCAACTTAAATATGAAATTTGTACTTCCTGCAATGGTTCCTTCATAAGTTATGCCGGGTAAACCGCAATAGCGTTCTCACAATGCTTCCTAAAATTGTGGTTACACCTTTCGAAAAGGTTTACAAACTCATAAAAAGTTAAGCAATGAAATCAGCAAGCGTGAAAACCCTGGTACACCATCTTTCGAATTTTCTAAAAGCTTTTTTTCAAACACAATTAGGTACTTTTCCGTTATCCGGACCCATTTTTTCAAAGATGGATATCTCTTCTGACCTTGCACCATATTTGGTCCCAATCTCATAGGAAGGAATGTCAACCTTCTGCCACGTGTCAAAAAAATTTGACATGTCATCTACATGTTTAACAGGTTTTACCAAGAGTTTGTGTTGCACTACTAGCGACATAAGCTCAGTCTGAATTCTAGTCAACAATGATCCCATTTTTGATTAAACAATTTCTAAATTAACATTTTTATAATAATAACGTCCTCCTGTTATCACTGAACAGATTAGACCTGCCCAGAATGGAGAAGTGCGCTAGGATTCCATCATCCAAGCGGCGTAACAAGCAGCAGCGCGATACTGCAAGCCATCATTTATAGTCTCTCCTGGCTAAATTCGCATGGCCAAAAGTTTGAAGAGAAAGACAAACTTGATTTCCTGCTGAAAGCAATCAAGATGTTCTGCGATAAGGTTCTAGACAGTTTTGCTTTTACAGAAAACAGCTGAAAGGCTTTTAGGTGCTCAGAATTGTTTTTTACCTCACCGGAAATGAATTCGAAAAAAAAACAAGTCAAATTGGGTTAAAACGTGTCAAATTTTTCCTGACACGTGGGGGGAGGCAGTCTTTGTAGAATCTATGAAGAATTGTTCTCACACTAAAGAACGTATATTATGAGAGCCCTTTGAAGAAATGGGTCCGGATAACGGAAAAGTACCCACAATTAACTCACAATGACGCTGTATACAGGAAATTCCTGCCGTAATGCTACAGTAGTGAGAAGCGACCAATGATTTACTTCATACAGTAAATCTAAGTTGAAGCCTGCTACAAAATTTACCTAAAGGAAAGCAAAAGACCTCTTGGGAAAAGAAATAATAACGATCAAACAGTATTGTATATACTTTTAGGACACCCTGTATATAGAATAAGCACATGGTGTGAATTTATACGGTAAAGTCACATATTCTCCATCCTTATGAGTTAAGGATATCAGTGCGCCGTATGTTTGAACGCTGATTTAAGAACTGTTTTCTTTTTTGCGAAACAACTCTTTAAAAAAGTTATGATCCTTTAAATGTCCAAATTGTTCAGCCTCATGTAGCATAAAGTCAGCGAAAAGCAGTGCGAAAACATTTGTGCGAATTTCCAGTAGCTTTTCCATTGCTCGTTGGATTTGAAATCAGCGTTTAAAAGCGCAATAAAGCAAGCAGCAAGGAATAAATTTTTTCTTCTAGCAATGAGCACATCTTTTCGATGCAATTGTTAATCAAGTTGGTATCCTTCCCTTGTAAAATTGGGATGCAGGAAAACGCTCTGCGAATACGTGTTTAACACGTTTCGGACCGGTGCTGCACATGGTGCAGCACGCTGCTTTGAGGGATCTTTTTAGCGTTTGCAGGAGATTTCCTTTTAGTCCAAGTTGTTAAGTTGAAGGTCTAACCTCCTACTTTTCAAATGACTCTGTAGAGTTGTGCCGCCGATATTTTTTTAGAAGATATGAGGAGAAATCGAACAACATTTACAACCAAATTCGGCGACGCGAACGACGCGTGCGACGTCGCAACTTTCCTTTGCTTCGATATCAAAGAGAAAAACCGTATTTTCAATACTGATGTGTGCCGTGTACAACATAGATTATTAGAATCTAGTTCTTGTTCCTATCTTTCAAGAAAGCACAAAAGTCCCTCTCAAGCCACAAAATTCAAACACTTCGAATTCACTCAGAACTTTGGACATGGAGCTTATCTGACATGCTAATTACAAATGTGACCCACAGGCTGCAAAATAAGGTCCCTTTGTAGGCTAACGGCTGAAAGTACACTCTTTTTCGCCGCGCGCGACTTCGCAGTCCGAAACGTGTTAACAAGTTCGTACTTGTTCCTTGAAGGCAGCGTCCAACCAAAATTTCGCCTCCCCATGTTTTTGTCATTTTCGAGGCTTTTTCGCGGCCCTGTTTACGGTTATGAACTTTGAGTTGTTTATCCCCCCCCCCCCCAAAAAAACCCCGATTTCTGGGGACTCTATCTTAAGGGCGCGCACGAGTTTCGGATTGCTCCTCCTCGTGGGGATAAGTGTGATAAGTGCATAAGTGCAGTTGCATCTGCTCCCTGTATGTGCAACTTCTGCTCACTACCGTTCAAAGCTTTTCAAAGGCAGTACCCACGCTATATCCAACTCCTCAGATTAGTGCCGATCCTGAATGTAGGCTCCAGAAGAAGAGCATCTGCGTTGATCTGGTCTTCTGATGTTGTCTCTGAATGAAGATAATGGACCTGGAACAGCGAAAGTGCTACCAAGCCACGCTCAGATCCTATAAAGCTCCGCCGAGCCAGGGACTGCTTCCCGACAGTATTGACAGTAATGAGCAGAAGCTGCATACTGCACACTGAAGTGCAACTGCACTCATGCAGTTGTAGCTCGTCCCCGCTTGCACGCCAACGGAGATGAGCAATCCGAAACTCCTTCGCTCCCTGAAAAGAGAGTCTTTAGAAGTCTTATCTTTATCTTTATCTTTACCTATTACATACGAGGTACACCAGAAAATAATGAGTGGAAACACAGACCAACCAAGCCAGACTACATAAGAGAAAGTAATAAATAAGAATATTATCACACTCAACACCTCAGACCCATCCGACGGTGTAAGACGGAAAATCTATCATAACTTATAATAACGGGCTAAGGGTTGTTTACGTGTGTGTGTGTGTGTGTGTGTGTGTGTGTGTGTGTGTGTGTGTGTGTGTGTGTGTGTGTGTGTGTGTGTGTGTGTGTGTGTGTGTGTGTGTGTGTGTGTGTGTGTGTGTGTGTGTGTGTGTGTGTGTGTGTGTGTGTGTGTGTGTGTGTGTGTGTGTGTGTGTGTGTGTGTGTGTGTGTGTGTGTGTGTGTGTGTGTGTGTGTGTGTGTGTGTGTGTGTGTGTGTGTGTGTGTGTGTGTGTGTGTGTGTGTGTGTGTGTGTGTGTGTGTGTGTGTGTGTGTGTGTGTGTGTGTGTGTGTGTGTGTGTGTGTGTGTGTGTGTGTGTGTGTGTGTGTGTGTGTGTGTGTGTGTGTGTGTGTGTGTGTGTGTGTGTGTGTGTGTGTGTGTGTGTGTGTGTGTGTGTGTGTGTGTGTGTGTGTGTGTGTGTGTGTGTGTGTGTGTGTGTGTGTGTGTGTGTGTGTGTGTGTGTGTGTGTGTGTGTGTGTGTGTGTGTGTGTGTGTGTGTGTGTGTGTGTGTGTGTGTGTGTGTGTGTGTGTGTGTGTGTGTGTGTGTGTGTGTGTGTGTGTGTGTGTGTGTGTGTGTGTGTGTGTGTGTGTGTGTGTGTGTGTGTGTGTGTGTGTGTGTGTGTGTGTGTGTGTGTGTGTGTGTGTGTGTGTGTGTGTGTGTGTGTGTGTGTGTGTGTGTGTGTGTGTGTGTGTGAATCTCTGTCTGTCATGAAATTCGTAGAGCGTGTTCCAGCCAACGTCCTGAGCTCAAATTTTGCACAGCGCATCCTACCAAATTGAGAGTCCAGTATACAAAAGCACGAGTGGATCCGTTGTGTGGATCCCTCAAAAATGCACGTCAATCGGGCCCACCTGGCTTTTGGTCCCCAAAATTGGGTCCGTAATTCCACTTTTTGCAGGCTTGTGGATGCTTATGGCAAGTAAATGTGCAAACCATGAAATTAGGCCCAAAAAAGTGATCAAAAGTCAATTACTTTACAAAAACGGCGCCAAAAAGCAATGGTTGCGTAAATGGCCATTTTTCCAAGCTTTTACCAGAGCATTTGATGAGATTTTTGCACCTAAATGTAGCTTACGGTGACTACTGTTCTTATGGCGACTGTCAATACTGTGGGAAAATCAAAAACGTTCATAATTTTGCTTTGTTCTCGTGTAAAAAAAATTTCACCACGCGAAATCACCGATTTCACATGAAAAAGCTTTCGGAATGGGTAGTTGTTTACATTTTGTTCATGATAGTCGGCATTGCTCGGTGAGTTTCGATGTCATCATTATGCGAGAATGAGTAGGGTCTAGATAGTAGAACAGTGCGAGCCTCTGCGAAGCAGAGGTGACGCACTGGTACTTTATAAGGACAATGTTTGTAACTCGAACGTTATCAAAGCTCTGATCTGAAACATTCTTCGAGAATTTATATCTGAGCTCAAAACATGGCATAATAAGATATGACCCTCTGTTCTCGAGTGGTACGCTTTGGTGAATGTACGTAGGCGATATGGCAAGACCCATGCGTACCTAGGACTTTTTCAACTACTTGGAGATCTCTCTTCCTCCGTGTTTGGCCGCATGCAATAAATTTAACAAGTGATGACGTAAAAAGGAGACAAAGTAGTATAGTGCAGTGAGAGTCCATTTTGTAGAACTACTCTATTTTCAGGTGTATATGCCGGGCTGGTCCTAACTTACATGACCAACCCGAATACATTAAAGGACCTCGCAACCAAAGGGCCCTATACCGTGTTGCGTATCCCCTGATAGAATCGTGCGGCATAAGGATCGCTTCTCGAAACACAATGAAGCGGTTGAGCATCTCGGGGAAAATTTGAAAAAGTGCGGCTTATACACCTGAAAGTAGGGTAGGTGGGCATTGTGTGAAATAAATATTTATACCAAGTTTCGTAAGTCATAGGTATGGATGAAGTTTTGGGTGTAAGCCGAGTCATCTACATACAGGGTGTCCCAAAAAAATGTGCACACTGTTTGATTGTAAATAACTCTTCTGTGGTGAAGTGTTTCGAGAAGCTTTAGATACCATTTTGTAGAGCGAGGCTCAACTTAGATTTACAGTGTAGAGCGGATCGTCGATCTCTCATTCTTACTGTAGGATTACGGTAGAAACTTTAAAGAAGGTTTTGAGCATTGAAAGGCCATATTTTGTTCCAAAAAGAAACCAAAACAATCTGAAAACTCTCACACTGGGCTAACTAGAGTCGCTGATTCTAAATGTGAAGTTCGCAACTCTTCGAAATGCTTCATTAAAAAATTATGCGAGGTAAGCAGTAGCAGACGTTTTTTAAGTGTTCCTAAAAAGTGCGGTTATACCGTTTAGAAAGCTTCTCAACCTTGAGTAAAGAGTTGGGTATTGAACTCAGGGTCCATAAAAACCCCATTACACAAATTTCCACATTTTTTAGAAAATTTCTGAAACGGCCGCTTTTTTCACAGTGACACCATATGTTTGAAGTTTCTACCGTACTCCTACAGTAAGAATGAGCGATCGGCGATTCACTCTACACTGTAAATCTAGGTTGACCTCGCTCTACAAAATGATACCTAAAGCTTCTCGAAACACTTCACTACAAGAGAGTTATTTACAATCAAACAGTGTGCACATTTTTTGGGACACCCTGTAGAATTGGATGTATAGGTTTTTGGGGATTTTGGACAAGTTGAACTTTATAACTATAATCAAGCCCAAGGCTATAGAATGACAAAAACATGAAAAGCGAAATTTTGGGTAAACGCTGCCTCATAATGTATTCGAATTCTTGGAAAAAAATGTCTGTGCCTGTTGAACAGAACCTATGGGACAGACTTCTCAAATATCCTGGTCTCGGAATGGATGACATATGTTTAGCAAATGGAAATGCTCCGCAAAACAGAGACTTCCGATTTTGGCATTGATTGACAGCGTTTTTTATGAACTCTTTATAACTTAATCAGCTTTTTATATGGCAGCATTTGACTGCTTCAAAATTTTACCTTCTCTTCATTTCGCAGCAAATCACAATCTCAGAGATTCCAATGATGACACATTATAATGAACATTTACTAAACTTCAAGGATTCACCAGGCAGCTGTCTCTATGTATGTATCATTTGATTTCACATTAAAAGTAGTTCATGAAAATTCTTGCATATATAGCAAATGTTTCGAAAATAGGCTCTTTGAGTCGAAACGCCAACTCTAGATGTTCTTCGTACATAGGACGATAGGCCTGGAAGAAAAGCTATTTGAGACAGGAAAAGATATTCAAGACTTTGTTAGAACAGAGCTTTCACTTTCGACGCCATTCCCGCATAAAAACAGTTTTCTTTTTCGATTAAAGTATGTGCATTACAAGTCTGAGTCTTGGGCAAAGCTTGTGCTGAAGCTTGTATCTAATCTGATAATTAGCATTGATAAAGGTGGAAACTCGATTGAAAGGTTCTTATGAACTCAAGCATGAGTGTTGGCTGACCATACCTTCGACAGTCTAGAGACAGGGCGTCAAAAGTGAAGGTTGTTTAACACGTTTCGGACCGCGAAATCGCGCGCGGCGAAAAAGAGTGTGCTTTTAGCCGTTAGCCTACAAAGGGACCTTATTTCGCAGCCTGTGGCCCACATCTGTAACCAGCATGTCAGAAAAGCTCCATACCCAAAGTTGTGAGTGAATTTTGTCGCTTGAGAAGGACTTCTGTGCTTTCTTGACAGATAGGAACAAGGACTCGGTTTATAATAGTACCCAAAAGTATCTATGTTGGACACGGTGCACATTATTACTGAAACTACGGTTTTTCTCTTTGAAAGAGGGGCAAAGAAAAGTTGCGACGTCGCACGCGTCGTTCGTGTTGCCGCGCTTCATTGCAACCGTTGTTTGATTTGTCCTCATATCTCCCAAACAAATATCTGCGGCACAGCTCTACAGAGTCGCTTGGAAAGTAGGAGCTTAGACCTTTGATTTAACAACTTTGAACTAAAAGAAAACCTCCTGTAAACGCCAGAAAGATCCTTCAAAGCAGCGTGCTGCACCATGTGCAGCACCGGTCCGAAACGTGTTAAAGATCTGTCCTCATTAAAAGTGAAGGTTGTTTGAAGAAGATCAGAGAAGAGAAAATGACGTAAAACAGATATAAAAAGCAAAAGAAACTGCTGAAAACCGATAAAAACGCTGCAAAGAGGTTTGAAATTTTTCACTTGGCTGCTTTTCAAAGTGCAAGTTTTCGCTCCAGGATCAGCAATTCTCAACACGGGGAAAGCGAAGAAGAGCTAATTTCTTTTTTGTGATTGCTTCAAAAAATATGTTTAGGAAGGACTGGCTATCAAAAAGGAGATAAACGAAAAGAAATTAGTTTGAAAACGCAAAGTTTCTTTTTTATAGGTCGAAAGGAACGTTGGAGCCAAATTTAACTTTTGATGCGTCCTTTGAATTTTTACCCCGCATTGACATTCCTGTTTCCTGGAACGTTGTCTGGCTTGTTGCGCTTATTGTTCTGAGCAACAATCGCGCAGCTGGAAAAAAAATCGCGGCGAAAGCACTGAAACAGAACAAGGTAGAGAAAACGCATTTTTTTAACGATTTTTCGCAAAAATTTCCACCATGTTCGAAGAAATAAGGACTGTGTGGTTGTCTGCATTATACACAGATGCAAGATTTATAAGATGCACGAAAAAACCGCTTGAAAAGAGTTAAACTGAGGCGAAAAAGAAGAGATTTTCGAAAACAAGGTTTTTGCCGAATTTCTCCATAAAATCAAAAGATGTGGTTTTGGGACGTTGTCAGCGTGAAAATAGAGATCAAGAGCTTTAAAATGGTATATAGTTGCTAAAATTGGGTTCGAAACAGCGAAGAAAAGGGTAACAGAGCCAAATGCCCCGTGCCCCGCTTTTGGGGTAGCGAGGTAGCACGCAGCGCGCGGAAGCGCAGACGAGCAAGGGAGAAAGACCAGACCGGAGACGCTTTGGCTTTGCTCGTAGATCTTCTCGGGGTCTCAACGAAACCCTGAAACATAAATATCATTCTGATCGTCATGACACGACGAGGAGAACTGACAACGTCCCAAGCTTTGAAAGTCACTCATTAACGAGATAGACCAGCGCTTTCGTGCGCGGCTCTCTGCGCAAATTTAAGCGCAGTTTCTCGTTCTTATTTAACACCAACAGCTTTCCTAAATTTCTGAAACTTGATTTTGCGCAGATAAGAGGTTAACTGAGAAATGTTGTCATGAATGTTGGCGAAAAATCACAGAAATCTTCTTTTCAACGTAAAAAAGGCTACGAAAACGCAAATTCTCGTTTTCGCAAGATAGCCTAAAGATATTATTCACTATATCTCTTCATTAACATTTGTTCGATATAGTCAGGTAACATCCGGGGCTTCGCCCCGGATGACTTCTGTTTTTTTCCAGGTGAACGCTGTGTCCCCTCATAGCCCTCAAAGTGAAGGTTACCAGAGTAAGTGGCTCTATGTAGCGAGGTAGGTTCGAATCCTTTTGTGTTTATTAGTTTTGCATTGCCTCAATTACTCTTTTTTTTAAAGTTAGGCATCCTTAAGGTTAATGCATGCCTTCCTCTTCAAAAAATATGGAAAATTCGGAGAAATAATTACTGTTTGCCTAAATTGTATCTATTATTCATAGTACGAGTAAATTTACTCGAACAGAACCCGTGGTATGCCGCAGCTACCTTGATAAGCATCCTGATCAATTCACCCCAGTACAATACTGCTTTTCGCGTAAATTGCTGGGTGAGTGCGAGCAAGCCAACTGCAACGACTTATTCTTCATCCGGTACGCTCACTGCGAGCATCTCCTCTGTTGTCATAGATTTCCATCACTGTGTTCAAAAGATTTTTCATTCATTTTCATTTTTGTAAGCACCTTTTAGAATAAATATAGGAAGCACTCATATAAAATGATTCGTCGTTGGTTTTTTTTTTGAATAAGGGCATGCATTTACCTCGAGGATGCCTAACCTTGAAAAAGAAGATTAATTAAGGCAATGCAAAACTAAAAAACACAAAAAAACTCAAACCTACACCTGCATCACCTTATGAGAATTTCGCTCTAACCACTACACCACAGCCTACCAAGGTATCTGGCACTCTGATCGTGATTGCCTTGGGGGACTGAACTTAGCTCGAAATCCTTCATAACTCCTTTCGGAGAAACGATCAAGAAACGGAAGTCAGATTTGGAAGCGTTGCGAGGTGGGTATAACGGTATACATCTTATCTCGAAAGGCCACGGACAGTAAGTATCGTTCCCTTGCTAGCAAAACTTGTAGTTCAACCACTACGTCAGAAGCGGCAAATCAAGAACGACCTTTTACTAAATATATTTTGAAGCCTTTATGATCGCAATATTTTCAAAAACCAACAAAACATACGTAACTCAATATATGGGCAAAGTGTCTACCTCAACCAAGCTAGGGCATTATGAATTACTCCGCTTGCTTTTTCAGTAACGATATTTTAACGCAAAATAATGAAAGCTTTTTTCTGTAGCACTATTTGCCAAGTAGAGTCTAGCTGTCTAAGATTACTGAACCTTTGGAAGCTGACACTTTGATGATGCCTGAGCAGCAACCACTCTCGCGTGCTACGAACTGCCACAAATTACATTATTTACAGTCGAGTCATTTTTAGATAATCGTACCTGTATTGCACACAATTAAATTTACCTCTCATACTGTTTAGAATTTTTAAAAAGAGAGGTTTAGAAAATGTCATTATGTGATTGGTGGGGCCCTTTTCCATTTCGCTGTGTAATCAAGTGTTGCTTTTACGTGCACATTAGTGCATTAAGAAAACAAGTAGAATTGCACCTAAACAACTGCCTCGCAGCAATTCTGGATTCTGCAGATATTCTGAGTATGTTTGAAAAAATCTTCCACACATTCATTATGTATACATGACAGGCATTCCTGCCTAACTAAGTTTGATTAGTTTCAGTTTGCTAACCTTGGCAATAGTTTTGAGTTCATGTGCTACTATGCACGACATAGTAGGATCAACAAGCGTATTAAGCTCCTCCAAAATTCCTGCGATTGTTTCGAAACTACGATTGCTCTTCAATATTCCGTTCATTTCGTTTATTGCAATATCTGAGATGCGCAACTTAGTAGTATCTCACTTTCGCAGTGAAATTGAATTTTCCTACCTACTACTTTGAGATCGTTTTCGATATCGTCCGTATAATGCGTAGCATTAACCTAAAAAATCACTATAAACCAGTCAGCGCGCTGTGCACTGCTTTCACTTTTTTCGCACTTTGCAAGACCATGAATGCTTATCAAATCATTGTACAAGTTCAGACCACTGACGATCTGCTCCAAAAATCTAGGCACACAATGGCGACTACATCTCCGAAATTTTCTAAGTCGTTCTAGGGCTTTTCTGTTCCTCTGAATTGGGATATGGTGTGCAAGATACTTAAAACCCAACAACTTCCCCTTAATCCTTCTTGCATCATGTACAAGTGCGGCATTACTTAGGAAGTCCGAAATTACCGTAGTATGAAGCCGGAGCAATTATAGTCAAGTAAATCTTCATTCATTATAGTGTGCTTGCACTGCAGGTAGAATGCGGTAAAATTTGCGCGTAAACAAATAGCTGTGTTTGTGATGCCGGTCAATTGTCCGCGCAAAATGCCGACGTTATTGGCATGGCTGTTTGCTCGTGTGCACATTTCATAGCATTTTGACTGCAGTGCAAGCCCGCTAAATTAAGCAGAAAATCACTCGACTGTATGCACTCTGCGTTTCGATGAGCTTGCAATGTCATGGCGCGTCGGGGGGAGGGGGGAATTTTTGATGAACGAACATTTTGAGAATGCGGGCGTTTCTAGCATACCCATGCATTAAAGGCCCAAACCCTCTATATGGGATCGCCTGTGTGAACCTTGCGAAGGGAAGCTCTATTAAAAGAGACTTATTCTCAAAGCTCCGAAGTCGTGATTTCATTTTTCTATAATCGTACTGAAGTTTTCTCTATTTTAGTTTTCAAAATATGTAAAACATTGATTTTGTGATTCTTGAATATATGGGTGTCACAAAAAATCAATTTTTGTGAGTGGAGCACCGAGTGCCAAAGTTTGCATACACATATTTGCGGCCCGATATAAAATTGGGTCGTGCGGCAATGCACCGGACACGATTTATTGGAAGTAAAAACTCATTCATCATTAAAAAATTTTCCATAGCCATGTGAACAGGCAGTGAAGCTCTTTTTGAATTTGATAAATTCAATACGATGCGGCGATCTGGAACAAGTCGGTTCGTCAGGTAAACCCTGATACAAAAGTATTGTGCTGGAGGAAGGGATAGTGGACATGAAGATTAGCGGTGCAAGGGGGTAGCGATGCGAGGACAGGCAAAAGTGGAGACGATCAAGCGTATGTCTATGCTGGCAAGCTTTTAAGTAATGCTCAGAAGTCGATGTGACCAATTCAAACAAGTTGCATACTATTAGATGCAGCATAAAAAGCTGACTCTAAAACTGTCTTTTTATTTATCACTTTTTTGAACGGAGTTATAAGCTACCGAAGACCATCACTTTGCAAAGAAATCGTGCATGCAAAGTGCAAATTAGGCCGTGCAGAACCATGTTCGGCCTAATGCTGGGCCAAAACGTGCAGCTTGGTCACTTCATGTAGCCCTTACCCGAAGGTGAGCTAAAAGGGCAATAATGTGCTTGATTTAGATGTCGCAATTTTTATGTGCAAATTTTTTCGGAGCGTAACTGCTTAAAACTCCGCCCACAAAAGTGATAAGCAGATAAAAAAGACAGCTTCGTAGTCACCATTTAATGCTTCATCGAATGGCATGCAACTTGTTTGGATTGGCCACTTCATCTTCTGACCATTCCCTTGTTGGATCTGCACCTAATGTACCACAGGACAAACCGCGAAGTGAGCTTGGTTTGCCTGCTTTTACAGATATGTGTACTACTGTAATTCAAACTTTCTCACTTTGTATCGCTGTGATGCCCAGGTAGGCCCTTCCTATTTTCAAAGTCATTGTCTTTCTGTGAAGTCAATGAAAACACGAAATAGTTGCGTTAATTTTCTACCAGCAGTACCGAGAATGTTTCCGATAGGCACAGATGACTTGTTGGAAGACTTCGCAGTTTCCGTTGAATCGAGGATTACGACCTATGATTTCACGAAATATTCTTTAATTTGACATCCCAGTCGTTTCTATCCGAAAAATGTTTAGCAATGTTGACTAGATGACTAGAACAACTCTGTAATGTTTTCATTGGTTCTGCAGGAGGATGAATGATTTTGATGAAAAGACAGTCAACTGCTAGAATTAATGCGGTATCAGACAAATAGTGGAAAATGCGGTTTTTATGGCAGTACGCTTCTTTCGCTTCACCGCTATTGCTCAATAGACCCTAATCTTTCTAAAAAGCTCCAAAGACATGCGCAAGACGATAATCATCAGGGAAGAGGTCCAATGAGTGCACAAGTATGTTGGAAACCCGAAGCCCACATAGTTACCTCTTTTGAAGCTGAGCTATCTTCCCCACACGAAGGTCATCGTGGGAAAGAATGGTCTTTTTTTTTTCTTCTTCTACGTGGAAAATCTTTGTATTAGGTTGATTATAAGTTCCGTCCGATTTGACTTTCAACCGCAATTGATCATGTACTTCTTGAAGCTAATTGGGTTTCAACCAGTGGCGGTCCCAGGATTTCCGTCGGGGGGGGGGGGGGGGCAGAAAAAAATTTTTAATTGAAGGTGCGTGGCGTAAGCCACGCACTCCGAAAATTTTTTTGAGGTGCTTCTTAAAATTTTTTCGGGCTCAAGACCCCTAAAATCCAGAAAAAGGGGACGTGGCGTCAGTCAGCCCCCGAAAAAAAATTTTTACAAGGCTAATTTGTGTTTTTAAAAAATTTCAAATTTTATTTATTTACAAAAATAAAGTCATTTGCACATTCTTATAACCCATGTAGGTAAGTTTCAAAATTTTGCGACTCCTTCTCGGGGGGGGGGGGCTCGGTCCGCCACTGATTTCAATGTATTATTTCTGTAGAGCAAGGCAAGCTCTACAAAATGGCGTTCTTCACCAGATCTGATCCATCTCGAGTTTCTAGCCGAAAACTAAAATGCTTACCGTCTAAAAACTCCGTCTAAAAAATCGTATAAAAATTCTAACTTGCTCACGTAAACACTATTCACAAAAGGCATATATATAGGCCATTGCCGTATTTTTTCTTGATTAGAGATCAAGGAAAAGAAAATTCTCTTGCTTTTGCGAAAGTGATGCTGTGTGTCCATATACAGATAATCGTATACTACTAGCCTGTAGAAGTACAAAGACAATTTTCCAGCTCTCCAAGAGCTCTAGTTTTCGAGTTTAGGCGTAAGTCAGCCTACTAAGAAAAGCTATATTAGATATTTTTTGAAAACTGGAGCTTCTGGAGAGCGAAAATTTGTCTTTACTTTTATACATGCAAGTATAATTTAATACAGTCACGTAGGGACAGCACTGCACCACCTTGTCTAAAGCATGGAAATCTTCGTGTTTTTGAATTCTAAGAAGAAAAAATACGGCATTAACGTGTACCATTTGATTCAACTGGCTTGGCATCGGCAAAGGCGGGACTTCGGACCTAATTAAGGCTAGGTCATGATCAGAGAGCGCTCGCGCGAGAGAGACGCAGGTGCATCGCGGGCGCGAGCGGCCTCAACTAGATCACAAAATCCCGCCCTAATGGTGCGAAGCCAGTTGAATCAAATGTTACATATAAATGTCTTATGTGAGTAGTGTTTACGTGAGCAAGTTAGAATTTAAGTACGATTTTTTTGGACGGAGTTTCTCGATTTTTCGGGCATTTGAATCAAAATCAATTTAGTTTTCAGCTAGAAAATCGAGGTGGATCACATCTGGTGCAAAATCAATAACGCCTGCTTGTAGAGCTTGCTTTGCTCTATCGAATGATACTTTAAAACCCATCTGGCTTTGAGAAATAAATGATCTATCGCGGTTGAAATTCAAAACGGACGAAACTTATGGGACAACCTGATATGTATGTATGCAAGTATGTTCGTATTTGCTACATAGAACATTTCATTTCCAAACCAATTCAGACAAAATTCTGCCACATAGGCTTTAGTGCGGAGCAGGAGTCACACGCTACTTTCATTATTGTTCTCTCTTCATGGTTTTTCAGCAGACTTTGGGCCCCCCGACTGGCAGTTGGTGCAAGGGTATGAGCTATTACGAATATAGTACTCTTTTTTGGAGTTAAGGCTTGTTTTATTGATTTCACGGACTTTTCATCAATATTTAGCTGGGGATCTTTCACAGAGGAATAACTGATAATGTTGATGGCAATACTACGTATGTAAGAGGGAACTGGACAGGGAAATGATGTCCAAGCGTGTTGGCGGTTCCTATCAATATACCTCGACAAAGGCGAGGGGTGGCGGGTAAGGCCGCTAGTGGTTATAAAGCGGATCCATCGATTTGCAAAGATTTTATAAACATTTTTGGGTCGTATTATACTACTTTCCTTTGGATGCATGGCCAAGTTTCATGCGGCTATGCTCAAAAAAGCAGCATTGTCCAATAATTTATAATCTGCTCGGAGTGACTGTTTGATTCTGGCCGCATCTAGTGCTCTGATAAACTACGCTTGGGCAAGCAGGAGGAAACGCATATAGTAGCGTTGCTGTCAAAATGTGCTCAAGCAGACGTTCTCAAGTGATTCTCAAATTTTTATTTTTTTTGCTGCCTCCCTGGAGTTTCTGAAAACGTCCTATGTTTGGAAATCAAATGCCGCTATTGTGAAGTTCTCGTCTGCCTATACAACGTATGCCTACACCACTAAACATCAAAAGGTTTATACTACAAAATATATCGAGGGGAAATTCATGATTGCTTTGGCAGAAGTTTGCCGCCTTTCATTTTTCAATTTCTCCATGAATAAAATTACCTGTGCATGCGAGTGTTTGATGTAGAGAGTGAGTGCATAACCAAGTCTGCAGGATTTTTTGAAATTACGATTTTTTTCGAATTTTCAGGCACTTGGAGCATCTTAGAACTTGTCTAACTGCGTGTGAATTAAACTTGCTGCGAATGTTCAAGTTCCATCCTGTAAAGCCTGTTTTGCTCTATTGAACAGTACCCCTTCGACTTTTATTCGTGGTAACCATGCAGAAAAACCGGAATTTTTTTTACGAGGCTAATTCTTGAATTTTCAACGATCTTTCAAGAGAATTATTCTTATTCACAAGTAGAAACAAGTCGATTGCATATTTTCATAACACATGTAAGTATTTTCGAAAACTTCGCTACACGTCCCCTCCTCTCCCCCTCCTTCAGTACGCCATTGGTAGATTCTAAGTGCAGGGAATGGAGAAAGAAGGCACATACCATACATGTGATAACAAAATGTCATTATTCAGTCGAGTTGCTTTGTTTGTTGATGTGTGCAGATGTACATAACCCAGAATGTAGAAGACGAAAAGCAGGTCTTAGATGAGGTACAACAAATTCAAGCATTCAAGCTTCATCAAACACCTACGCCTAAACAAAGAAAAAAGCCAAGAGAAGGCATTGCGAAAGTTGTATTTGGACTCACAAATACATGCTAGAAATTGCGCAGTTGTGCACTAGCAAAAATATCTTATTTTGCATATCTCTCGTTCGAAACGTTGTAAGATTATTGTAAATGGGGTAGTTATGCTTATTGTAAAATTAGTTGCATGTCAACTTCCTTCAAAAAATCTGCAAAAATGGCATCAGGACCCAGTGCAGCCGCAAGCACCCGCATTCGGCTGTACTATGCCCAGCTCGCCAAAGCGGTGCGAACAAGATTTAAAAATTTATATATCGTAACAAGAACGTGTGCCGTAGCTTGTTGGATAATGAAAAGTTTACGGCGGGATTAATCACGGACTACTGACCATGCTATTGCATAACCGTGCGATGAAGCGGCATTATCGTTTTTAGACACTGATAAAATGCAGATAGATTGACATGGAGCACATTTACCTTGAGCGTCAAAGGGCGGACTAGTTTAATTTTACTAGTTCTGCAAATCAAACTTCCTCACACAAAAGCTCATTACCCCTCCCAGACTTTAGGCAAATGCAGCTCTGTGATCCTTTTTATGTTGCATTTGTCCATGCATATCTAACTAGAAGTGGGCTGAACTTACTTCTAATAAAGAACTTCTATATAAAACCTTTTGATAATGTAAATTCAAAGATGGTGAATTTGATGCAAGATTGAGATTATTGAGGTGAGACCTTCGTTTGGCTTGTAGATATCATTTGTGATTCTAAAAACGCAATAGCGCATACAAAGCCATTAGCTATTGCACAAAATTGATTGTTAACGATGAGAACTGTGGGGCCCTTTCTACAATTCGTGATTAATATCAGCTATCGTGTTCATCAGCAATATTCAGACGTGTGGAAAATTATTCGTGAAGCAATTGAGGACGGTTCGATGGTTAAAAACATTGTCCCGGAAAAATTTCGTTCTCCTGTTTTTCACCTCTTCGGAGCTTTATTGCCCTGCTGAAGCCACATCTGAGCTTTACAGCGCTTGAAAATGGCAGAAATGAGCTTTTCAAAACTCTGCGGCCCGCGATCACTCGAAATTACGTGCAAAAAGTGGACGGAGTTTGGAAAAACGGGGTCCAGAAGATTTTCGGAGCGTATTTCGGGCTTTCCAGAAGCGCTTTTTAGCTCCAGACTTCACTAATAGATTAGCTGGAGGGACTCCCATTGCAACACTGTAAAATCTCGGTACCCATCGTTTTGAGGGGACGTTGCTTTTGAGGTGTAGGAATAAATCACGCAAAATTATCCTATTTCTTTTTTGTGACAACAATTAAGGTTCGAATGCAGCCTTATAATCTATTGCATACCAGTAGGTGACACTTACTCCACTCATCTTCATGATCTTTTTTCCCACAAGATATGTTTTCATAAACAAACGATGACGTTTGAGCAGAGCAGCTACATCCAATATAGCTTTAGTTGTATGCCAGAGGTCAAACTTCACCAAATCCTGAATAACTCGTATTCTACAATTACTTCTAGTAAAATCTATATGTTATAACTTCTTTGAGCGAATATTATACAAGATACTTTACCGCAAGGATTGTCTTATTAGAGCGTTTGTTGCCTTCATCTACCACTTCACGCAAAGGTTTTGAAAGCACTTGCAACAAAAATGGTTCCTTTTTCGTAACAACGTTCAAGGATTTGCGAACTTCTCCGGTACTTCTTAGACTGATTTTCTTCATAGCAGTCTAAATTATTTCCAAAGATTTCGGAACCTTGGGATAAATTATTTCCAAAACGATTTCGGAACCTTGGGACGTTGAACATACTTTTAAGAATTTCAGATTATACAAGTCAGAAGGATCAGAATGTGCTTGACTGTTTGACGTTCCCGATGTAACTGTGCTAAAGTGCTCTAGTGCAAAAAGTTGCGGCTTGCCAAAAGAGAATAATTAAAAACCACCTGAACAAAACTGAACAAGATAAGTATAATAGGACCCATAACATCGCACACCGTGTTTATAGTTCAGAGCCCTGAAAAGCTTGTATATGGTCATAATTGCGCGATCGCTCGGGCATATTGTTGGGCCAGAGTTCGCGACGTAAGCAGCTTAGGCGAATTATCTGCACTAGCTCACGTCGGCAACATGATGTGGGCTGTCTTGTGTTTGGTGCAAGAAAAAATCCAGCGTCTATGGCCATTTGTTGGGGATGCATTGGCAGCATGTTTGTTACGAAGTAGGGCCCCAAGCATTCAGCTACATGCAGCTCAAAGTTCCTTTAAGGGCCGGGCATACTTCACGCGATTTCAGCGGCGACGCGATTTGGCAATATTCCAACGTTTATAACTTACTGTAAACACCTTCTAAATGTGTAAAAGATAGGGCATTTTATTAAGCCACGTAATTTATACACACTATGCATGTGCAGTTTGCTAGTGTTGGATCTGAAGACTTTTGGCGAAATGCCAAATCGCGCCGCGACTGGAATCGCGTGAAGTATGCCCGGCCCTTTAGACCAAGTCACTGCCGTCGCAGAGGAGTGATAAAACGTGCTACTCCGAGTCATAGGATCCGCTTCTCCATGCTGCGGTGGTGTATTTAGAGTAAGCCTTATCGCTTTTGTCAGCCGACGCTCAGAAGGGAAGCTACCAAGCGCAAGCTGGCATAAGCTTCCAGTTGCATGCGGCGCAGAGTTCTTTCGACTGGCCACTAACGTCACGTAGGGCATAGTATGCCGTGGTTTGGTCAGTTATAGGTCCATGTCCGCACGCTGCAGTGGCGGCAGCATACCTCACCGTTTTCAGTCACTGCGCGATCTAGCGCTGCAACAACTCTTCATGATTGGTCCTATGTTCGCTTTGCTTGGTCCAGACTATGTGTTTGCGTCAACTTACACAAGCCAGGGTCTATGCTTTGAAACTTGCGCACGGTTAATCTGAAGACATCTTGCAAATTGCCAAGTCGAAGACATATTTCCCTCGATTTCGTCGAATGTAGCAATTCGAGGCGAGGGAGGTATGTCTCAGGCCTTACTGCAGCAAGATGGCAAGCTATGAGCGCAAAGTTTGGCTCAACCATTCAGTTAATTCATTGCGTAGGTATAAAATGAACATTGTTGGTGACTCTTTTCTGCTTACCGAATTTTCATCGAAAAGGAAAAATAGCCTTCAGAGATGAAAACACTCGCTGTGATATCCTATTCACTAAGCTGGATCACGCGTGAACGCGGATGGACACCCTGTTGTAGGTAGAAGATATGCAGCTGTTACCTAACGTTCTGCAGATAAAATGAACTGTCTTATTAAGTGAATTCACAATGGCCTTCTTTTCTCAACCTGAATAAACTTGATTTGATGAAAGAGTACACTGTTCTTTACGTTTCCAGATTACGCAAGGACAATACTCGATCTCGACTCGCTTTGGTTTTTTCCGCTCCGCCGTCAAGCTGCGCGTAGCTCTGCATAGCCAATGCGCAACATCTGCGGGCGTTGCTAACTGGCGTTTTGTCAGTTCAAACAGCTAATTTCGCTGGCTGTCAACTTTTTCAATGAGTACTTCTTATCGTTAGTTACCCTTATTTTCTTTTCAGGCAAAATGCTGTAGAAATGGTGGTAGGGGATGAACAATGAAATTAACGCGCAAAAGATCCTGCAAAACTACAAAGAAGCCGAGACTGCATTCTAGCCAATTTATCCCTTAATGTTTATCTTTCTCTCGACAATTACGCCTCTATAATATGTAATGCACACAACTTGAAAATAAGAAGAGAAACGATACAAATGGTTTACGAACTCTACAAATCGCCCTCAAGCACCGTCCACCCAAAATGGATGTTGGCGAGATTATGATGGCGTACTAGTGTCGGCCTCCACACTAGGCAGCCTCCCACGCTTCGCCGCAAAAGACTGCTTCTGAAGCGAGAAATCCGCTCCAGAAGTAGCAAAGTAGGCGTGGCGACCATGGTCGCCCCCCCCCCCCCACTTGCATGCTTTATCTCGCCTGCGGTTGCGGACGGTTCTTAAAACTGGGATTTTTGGGGGTTTCGCTGGTTCTCGACTCCATATTCGGAATTAGGGCTTTCAGAAGGCCTGAAGAAGACAAAAATATTGAATTCGAGATTTTGGGTGAACGGTGCCTTCAAGTGGCCCGAATTTTACGGTAGGCTCGGGCGAGTGCGAGATGCACGCAAGGTAGAGACGCAGAGTCGTTGCGGGACCCTACGCTCATGACTGTGTGCGCTATACGCACTCTGGCCTTGCAAATCGATACTGCTGTGTGGGCGGCGTCCGGGCCTATCGTAAGATTTGGGCCACTTTCGGAGCAAATTTTAGGCTTGGTAGACCCCTCTTTTGCTCCTAACTTCAGTCATCGCTTAGGTAGGGGGTCTACTTTATCATCGCCACAAAAACCCGGCACCCATCTTTTTGCCGGGACGCTGCCTTTAAGTGTAAAAGCAACTTAGTCTTCTAAAAACGTTCGAGCTTTTTATGGAGCTTATCAAAATGTTAAAAAGTAGTTGTGACTTTACCAAGTCCTGGAATATTTTCACAGACAAAATTTGATTTCAAAACACTAGGCTACTTTTGAAAATTTTCGGACCTTTTTAAAGGTAAGAGAGTTCCTCTTTATCACATTCCCTGAGACCCATCGGTCAGTGATATGTGTCCTCAATGGAAGCGTTTGTCCAAAATTTATGCCTGTATATGTACTTCAATAGAAAAGCTGAACTAAAGCACCCGAGCTGGTTGAAATGTCGCCAGCTATTTCACCGGTGCATCGTGGACATGTACGCCAAGACTGAGAGTGAACGGCTCCTCTTCATTCGACGCAATCAGCGAAAGCTGCGTGCAGACGACTACATCCACCTGCGAGATGCCGTGGCCAGAGATGGAAATGTCACTGACCTCGGGCAAATGGTCATACTACCATCCTCCTTCACGGGCGGCCCACGCCACATGCACCAGTACACTCAGGACGCAATGGCCTACGTTAGAGCGTACCGGCGTCTTGATCTGTTCATCACGTTCACGTGCAACCCGGCGTAGACCGAAATTGCGGAAGAGCTCTTTCCTGGTGAAGCGCCTTCTGACCGCCACGACATCACGGCGAGAGTCTTCAAACAGAAGCTCACGAAGCTTATAGACGTGCTAACGAAGAGCCACGTCTACGGAGACACTCGCTGCTGGATGTACACCGTGGAATGGCAGAAACGCGGTCTTCCGCATGCCCACATCTTAGTGTGACAGAAGGAGAAAATACGCCCAGATCAGATCGACAGCATCATCTCAGCGGAGCTTCCCAGTCGAGAAGAAGACACTCTTCATTCGATGTTGTCCTCAAAAACATGGTCCATGGGCCATGCGGACTACTAAATCCGAGGTCGCCTTGCATGAAGGACCGCAAATGCACCAAAAGGTACCCTCGGCAGCTGATCCGCGAAACCCAAACGGGAACTCATGGCTATCCTCTATACAGAAGGCGAAAGCCTGATGATGGAGAACACACTGCCGTCATTCAAATGAAGGTGGACCATCAGACCGTAGACGTCGTGGTGGACAACAGCTGGGTTGTGCCATACACTCCCTTGCTCTCGAAAATGTTTTGAGCACATATTAATGTGGAGTACTGTAATTCGGTGAAGTCGATTAAGTACATCTGCAAATATGTGAACAAGGGAAGTGACATAGCAACGTTCGGCCTCGAGCATGCCACTGCACCGTTTGATGAGATCGAACGATATCAAACGGGCAGGTACATAAGCAGCAACGAGGCAGTTTGGCGTATCCTGGGTTTCAGGATACACGAACACTACCCACCTGTCACCCATCTACATGTCCATCTAGAGAATGGACAACGCGTCTACTTCACGGCTGATAATGCGCGGCAAAGAGCTGCGCAACCACCTCAAACAACTTTGACGGCATTCTTCCTTCTGTGCCAACATGATCCGTTCGCACGGCCTGGGTTCTTCAAAAAAAGCGCCTCGGTGAAGGGTGTCCTAATGATTTCTGGAGATTTTCAAGTTTTTGACATAAAAACATTTATAACTTCTGTAGAGGAACATCTTGTACGACGAGATGGTCACCGTTGAAACCGCCTTGTCCTCCGCTTCCAAAAAATATGTAGCATGTCTGAGATCCGTCCAAAAAAGTGCCTGGGTGAAGAGTGTCCTAGTGATTTCTGGAGATTTTCGATTTTTTAACATAAAAAATTCATAACTTCTGTAGATGATCATCTTGTACGCCGTGATGGTCACCATTAGAACCGTCTCATCCTCCGCTTTCAGAAAATATATACTTTGCCTGGGGTCCATTAGAAAAAGTGCGGGGTGAAGGGTGGGTGAGACTTTTATAATGGGAGTGCTCAAGTAGACGTCTTTTCACAATGGTAAAAAAGCCTCTACTTGAGCACTCCCATTATAAAAGTCTCACCCACACTTCACCCGACACTTTTTCTAACGGACCCCAGACAAAGTACATATTTTCTGAAAGCGGAGGACGAGACGGTTCCAATGGTGGCCATAGCGGCGTACAAGATGTTGTTCATCTACAGAAGTTATGAATTTTTTTATGTTAGAAACACGAAAATCTCCAAAAATCACTGTTCACCCAGGCACTTTTTTGGACGGATCTCAGACATGCTATATATTTTTTGGAGGCGGAGGACAAGGCGGTTCTAACGTGACCATCTCGCCGTAAAAGATTTTCATCTACAGAAGTTATGGATTTTTTATGTTAAAAACTCGAAAATCTCCAGAAATCATTAGGACACCCTTCACCGAGGCGCTTTTTTTGAAGAACCCCAGGCAAAATATATATTTTCTGAAAGCGGAGGATGAAGCGGTTCCTGGTAACCGTCTTGGCGTACAAGATGTTTACCTATAGAAGTTACGGATCTTTCTATCCTAAAAACTCGTTAATATCCAGAAATCACTACCCTCACTCTTCACCAGGCACTTTTTCAATAGACTCCAAGCAAACTATATATGCTCTAAAAGCGGGACAAGGTGGTTTAAACATTTTCCTTGCTGACGTTGCTGTTCATCTACAGAAATTACGAATTTCTTCTTTTGAAAAATTCGTAAATGCTTAAAAATTGTCTAACTTTCTTCCGAAACAAATCTTCTCGCATGCACATTCTCTATGGTAATTTCAAGAACAGGCAAGGCGATGTAAAAAAGGAAAAAGGGAAAATGTAAAAAAAAGCAAGGTGCGGTCAGAACCATAATTGTGTGCTAATCCAGCAGCACATCGGCTCACATTTCAGAAAAAGACAACCAGTGATGGCAAGGAATTGAATACTTTGACTAGGAAAAGTGATGAGAGAATACCATGGCTTCCTCCTCCCCCCCCCCCCTCCCGTCGACATTTTATGATTTCTTGATCAACTGAAACACCCTTCACCGGAGGGCTGCGACCGCTGTGACCCCCTTCATCCTGGAGGGGTCATTCTCACCTTATCGCACCTGTGGTCGAGGGCAGCCATCGGTTGTCTCTATCGAGGACAGCCATCGGTTGCCTCACTTAGAGGACAACCATCGGTTGCCTCACTTGCATCGGTTGCCTCACTTGGAGGACAACCATCGACCAGCAATCGACCAAAGCCTACAGAGATATCAACTCCGAGAAACCGGAAATACACAGACGAAATCCTTAACAAAACCTTTGTCGCTTCTTTCACACAAAAAGTTCCCCAGACAGAAAATTACAACAAACATTTTACTCAAGATTACAAATATCATCAAAAACGTTTTCCTTCGCTTCGGCTTCCTTTGTATCCTCTTTCTTTACTTTCTTCTTAATAACCGTCATCAGTCTGTAAAATTGAGCAAAGTTAGGATCGGACTCGCTCGGGCCAGCAGTTGGCTGCGTGGTCGTTGCTTTCGGTTTAGTCGTCGGTGGAGGAGGTGGCGGGCCGTATATGTAACAATAGCTTTGAGAGTAAAAACACCATAAAGTTCAGAGCTTACCTTCTTTTTGGTACAAAGTTGTCTTCGTTTGAGATCATCACCTTCATCGGACGCCTGAAAATGATATTTGCAGTGACATAAACAACAGTGATAATAGCAAAGGCTCACCTCTTGCGGTTGGGGAAGGGGGCTTGAGGCGGCAAGTTTACGGTTGTAGAGGACCTGGCGAACGTAATGAGACTCATCAACCTTGACACATCGACTATGGGATGATCCCCGTCGGGAGTGAAGCAAGGGACGCCTCCGTCGAGTACCGGCACAAAACTGAACCGAAACGAGTGCATCCCATCGGAGGTCTCTAAAGCGCGCGGCGTATACTTCACAAGCGTTACGCTTGAGCTACACTATATAATCTTTTTTGGCCGCGGCGATGGCTCCGAGATACTGCCTTCTTAACGCGGTGAGATCAGGTCTTTCAAACATGTGCTTCATCTCCTTATTGATTCTGAACGAAAAGTCTAAGTCTTTTCCAAGCCGGTACCATCTGATAGTTCCTCGTGTAATCGTGACATCTTGATCTTCTCGCCATCTCTTGTGCACCGCTTCCTTCACCAATCCTCCCCATTGTCGGCCGTGCCTTCTAAGTATGGGTTTGATCATACTCTTCCTATTATGAATCTTTCGCGGGAGACTTGCTTGTTGAATAAGCCCCATTTTCGCCACCGTTCTCGTACATAGGCCATTGCTATTGCGCTCAACTCTCTGGGCGATTGAAAGACGGTTCTTGTGCATGTTCTCTTGAGTCTTTTTTTAGTTCCTTGACGAATCCATGGATGCGATCAACAACTTCCCTCGCTTCCCATAACAAGTACTTTTTCGTAAGGAACGTTCATGATTCCTAAGCACGTTCATTGACGCAACGATCTCTTTATAGATATGACGCAATCCAAGCACATCTCTACTTGATCCGTCGGGCTGAGCCTAAAACAAAGAAGATCTTATTTCAAAACAGATGCATTAAAGAGGATGGCAGAAGTATGCAATCACTACTAGCACTAATGTAAACCATTACTGTGCAAGTGCACTATGAGCTGTCGTGCATATCTGTCAGTAAAAAGTTGCAATGCTTGAAATCACCTTACGTTCCCAGCCAAGCAACGTTGGACTGATCTGTAAGTAAATATGCTGTGCATATAGAAATAAGTTACCATTCCTGTCGCATCACAAAACACAGATCGAGAATGAGAGAATATGATAGGACTGGACTTTGAACACAGTATCGGATGGATCGGCTGCTTCGAATAAGCAGCGGAGAGAGAATAGTACACGGCCTTGGGAAGGAGTAAATTGATTAGGAGAGAAGGGAATAGATTGATTTGCAAAGATCGGGAATTGGACTAGGTCGATTGGGAAAGGTCGGGACTAGGATGTGTAGAAGTGACTAGAATGACTTTGAAATATTGAGACTGAGTTCGAATTGTGATTCTTTGACTTGAATGATTGACAAGGCAGAAAATACTGAAATCAATACTGCAGTACTTTTTGGATTTAAATGGCAAGATATCTAGGATATTTCTGTCAGCTGTAAAGAAAATTCAGTTGTTTTCATTAGAATCACATTGTGTTCATCGGTTCGTTTTCCCAAAATTGCATGTTCCTGTTGCTCAATATGTAGGGTATCAACGACGAAGATTCTCAGAAAAATCTTACGTGTCGTAAATCCTGTGCCATAGTTTTTATATCCGGGATGAAGTATGTCATCTTATGTACTTCCTCTAGCATAAGCAGTAAAACGGAAATAATCTCTCACATTTTCTTCGCAAATTTTGCTTACATTGGATTGAATGTCGACATTCACACTGCTCAGTTGGTTAGAGTGTAAGGAACGGTTGGAATCCTTCAAAAAACAAAGCTTTGAACAAAAAGCTTTGAAAAAGCGATAGGCAGATAAATATCTGTTGCTAAAATGAATTGCACACGTATGTTTCGCCTCATGACCCTAGGCATAGTAAAGCCTCGGGAAGGGTGTGGCACGTTTCTACGTGTCACACCCTCCCCGAGGCTCGTCAGTAGGGTTAAGGTACATGTGTACATTGCAAGAAATTGATTCAATATGCATTACGCAAGACATTATAGATGTGAGTAGATAATATGATCACTGCAAGAGATCGCAACAAGACTGCAGTGCCTTTGATGTCCGGAATGACTTGGACGGACTGAAAAAAGTTGAGGTGTATCTTTTGAGAAAAAGACACTTGCTTACCGGCGTTGATCGGAGACGTGCAACAGTGGCTTTTATGTCAAAAACATGCTAATTATGTGTGCGTACTTCGCTCACCTACCTGGCATGCATGCGGGATTTGTTCTTGTATGTAGGTTTGAAAAATATAGAAGTACATGAATAAAATATAGAAGTAGATAAATAAGATTAGAATAGTATTTACCTCGGACAATACCCCTTGCCCTCTGTCTAGTCTTTGCACTGGGTTTTGGCAACAGCAAATCAGAATTTGAAGCAATGGAAATGATCCGTGAATTGGATTTCACTTACAAAGTTCCCCTTCAAGTCGGTGTAGTTAAAGGCATTGTCCGGGCAAAAACTCGATTTTAAAAAATCCACCTACTAGGGGTTATCTAATCCGAAAATTCACTTTAGAAAACGAGAAAAAGGCGAGAATATACGTTTTCCAAAGCCGCACAATTTGAAATTCGACGGTTACCATCAAGACACAGACGCAGTGTCGCTGCGGGACCCTACATTTTAACTGTGGCGGCATGCGTACTCTGCCGCATAGCAGGATTTCGGACTAATCGGAGGACCCCGCCCCAAGGCGTAAGTTTCCCCACTTTCCGGTCGTTTTTTCTTGCTTTAGGGCGAGTGTTATGACGTCGCACTTGCGCGATGTTGTGTCTGAGGGGGCCATTTTCGCATGGCACTGAAATCCCGGAACCCGCATCTTGCCCGAACACTGCCTTCAACACGCACAGGACACTGAAAAGATCTCCTGTCTAGAAACCATACACTAAAATGAATTGAATTGGCCATACTAGTGCTATTGATAGCTAAGATTGAGACTCCTAATCTGAAAGCACAACTTTTGTAAAAAAAAACATTACAAAAAATCAGTGGACAAGGACTCCAGCAGCAAATTGAATTTACTAAACAGCTGACATAGAGATCAATCCCAAAACGAATTTCATCTACAAGAAAGAAAAAGGCTTTGAGTAATTACTCCTTTTCCATACTTAGTACTTGATACAAATACCAAAAATTAGATACATACAATGCAGGGCTGGCACAGATGGCTTGGGGTCCAATTGCACTTCGTTTCTGGAGTAAAACCAAAGGGGATGTTGTAACTGCTGTACATACATTTAAGTTACCTCCAAATATGCTAACCATTGGTACGGGAATGACATGCTCTATGCCCGCCGAATTCAAAATAATGCTGTATAAAGAAATGGCTTGTTTACAACGCACAAGCATTCACATGACACCGAATTTGGGCTAAATGTATACAATATTGCTCCGAACTACATTGTGTGAAAAGTTTCAAAAACTTATGTGTCCTAACAATCGTTCCCGAATTTGTTCCAGACCATTACCAAACCAACTGAGTTGGTTCGGAGCATAAATAATGGAGAAATCACATAAGTTTTGGACCTGTTTGACATGAACGATTGAAACGCTTGAAAATCTATCATACAGAGTCCCTTCATATTACGCCACAGGACGCAGCGCCTGCGCAGGGGTGTAGGGCGTTAGGCGACAAACCCAATTTTTTAGACCCCAAAGAACTCCCCGTGCAAAACGTCTCCTCCGCCAAAAACAGGGGGTGGGGGTCGGGGCCGATACATTATTCGAGGCCAATGAAAAAATGGTGCATAGTTTTGAGTTACGGGATTTACGTTGCTTGCGTTTTGCACGTTTTGTCGCCTAACGCTTGCCCTCCCGCCTGCCGCAACGCCGCCGCTGAAGTCGCAGTGAAAATATACGCTCACGGCAGCACAGCTTCGCCGGTCATGGATGTACATCCTTATTTGCTGCACGTTCGTGTTCTCCGAGAGGTTCCTTCACAGCGAGCGAGCTTATATTCTCACTGCAACTGCAGCGGCGCACGCCGCAGGATCCAGCAGTCCGCGGCGTAGTATGAAAGTCACACTGAAGAGAGCTAATTAAACCATTACCTCTGCTCTTTTTTGAGCCAAAAATAGTGTACATAAACGCACTGGTAGATATGGCGCTCCAATCACATACCTGTCAAGGCGTCTTTGGCTGCGTTCATACTGACTCCGAAGTTCGGGAACAATTCCAGCACAACGCTCAGTTCGCGCCTTGTGCTGGAGCTGTTCCCGAACTTCGGAGTCAGTATGAACGCAGCCTTTTAAATTGGCGATAGTTTTTGTTGTTGCTGCTTTTGTTTTCTTACCAGTTTTTACGTCAGTGGGTTTTCGTGAATGAAGCATGAGGGACTTGTTTTCAAAAATCCTCCAAACCAACGCATGCCGGGCCCTGATACAATGCAATAAAAAAACAATCATACAATCTAGACATCACATTTCCAGCATCAGTAATGCACAAAAGGCGAGGAAGGAACAAATAATGAGACGAAACAGGAGACAAAAATGCGCATAGGACGCATCGGACTTGTATGGGCGCCATTGACCGAGAGTTGGCAAAATGCCCTGCCCATGCTCGCTCGCGAAGGGTTGAGCCAGACTTCGCGGGGAAGCGGCGTACGCGGCGTACGCAGCGTACGCTCGGTATATTTCATCATAGGAGCATACGCGGCGTACGCTGCGTACGTCGCGTACGCCGCGCAGTCTGGCCCAACCCGAACGTGGCGTACGGGACTTGCGGCGCGTGCGTGCAAATCGCATTGACATCGCCTGGCTGTGCCACAAGTCAGACGCAGAGCGGAGGTAGCAGCAGTCGTGAAAGGGGTAATACACATCAAAAGTACGCATTACTCACCGCGTAATCCGTAATTGTATGAGATACAAGCATCCACGCCAAATGCGCGACAGTATTCTCCATGCTTTTCGCCACTTAATCAGCCTTGAGTGTAAATTGCATTTTGAAGAGATGTCGCAAGAAACGGCACCTAAAAGTTATTTCAACTCGAATACTTTTTTTTGGGTGAAAAGTGTTGAATAAGGGAAGATGAGACCTTAAAGATAATTGATAGAAAGGGGCTGCTGATGGCTACGGGTCAGAAACAGGGTTGAGCAAGGCTTGTGCACACAATCGCTGGATACGACCCCCTCCCCTTCCATATAACAATAAGTTCTATCTCGATCCCCCCCCCTCCCCACACACAGCATTTTCGTTTGCCTAGATTTGACATAGAGGGAACTATCAAGCATGATTAATAACATGTACGTAATCATCATGTCAGATAACCCCTATAGGCCAAGTCCTAGCGAGTTCTGAGGATCCCCAATATTGGGCCACCCACGTAAATTGGCCATCTTCGTACATGGCTAACTATGTTTCAAAAGTAAACTAGCTACCTCTTTTTGTGCTAAATGCAAAGCACTACTTCTTATTTGCCCACATTATAACCTCCTTCAAATTACTATCAATGCGGAATCAATATCCAGCCAAAAATATATTTGCCCCATTTTTCGCTTACTTCTGGCAGCTATTGCTCAAACGAAATACGAGCCCAGCTCAAATCACTTGTATAAAACTACGAAGTATTGGTCACCGAACTACATGCAATTTTCTCCTTGAATTCTCTTTGGAGGTATGTTAGTGGGGTGTGGCACTATCCCAAAAAAGCTGTGGCTGCCTTATTAGGGGTGCCACATCCCATTAACGTACCTTCAAATCATTCAAATATCTGCGTTATTCATATCAGTGCTACTGCCTAACCGTCTCCTTCACACAGTAGGATTTAACTGTTTTCTCTGGGAAAGGATAAATCGTCTCCTTACCCATGCGAATGGAGAATACTGCGAAAGGTTGGGTTACGGTGACGTGTTAAGTCTGCTCTAGTATGTGAATCGTGAGGGAAGGCGACAAAAAAAATATTCGATAGCCTAAGCTCAACAATAGACACAAAAGTGAATTGAGCCTTCTGGATTGGTCTTCTCTAGTCTGAGATATTGAAGTGCGAGAGAGAAAGCGAAACATGGAACAAACGAGATCTTGGCTTGCTCTTGATT